ATGTACGTCATTTCAGCCAAAATATTACATTTCCATATTTATTTCTGAGAATATATTCATTCAGTCACAGTTAAGGTAAAATATACTTGTGATGTAATATTTTAATGAAAATACGGTATCGCAGTTTTCTTTTGTTTCAAATTTAATAAAGATTGATGCTTCGAATATAATGAACAAAAATTTGTACAGTAGTACCCCGCTTAACGCGGTCAATTGAACCCACAGGGTACCGCGTTAAGTGAAAACCGCGTTAAGTAAACAACAGAACATATGGGATTAATTCCAACAGAGACTGGCCCGACCCGCAAACTCCACTTTTTGACGACACACAACTATGTTGTAGTAAAAATATTATCTTAACTTTATGATGGTATGCACACAAAATTAATAATTAAGAGAAATATCAATAATATTAGGTTTTTTAACACTTACATTAGTAGAAAAGATGGCTGGGCACACGGGGATGGGGGGTTGGTTCCGAGGCAGAGGGCAGATTATTGGCCCTCACCTGTATCACTTGTATCAATTGTATCACTATCCACCACAGAGGCTTGCAGGGCCTCTTTGTCAAACCCCTCAAAGTCCACATCCTCACTATAATTATCACTATCACTGACTTGGGCCGGCTGTGGTGGGTGGCGGGTGAAGAACTCGGTAATGTTTTGATGACTGGGCGACCTTGTGCGCATCGTGCCCGCGCCACTTCCCGCGTATATGAGTAGATGAACCACGTTAAGTGAAAGTTTGGTTCTGGCGAGGCACCGCGTATATGCGAAATCGCGTTAAGTGAAACCGCGTTAAGCGGGGTAATAATGTACAGTATCTATAAATAAACTTTAAAAAATGAATTCTTTGTTTTACATCGTCCTGTGCTACCATACCATGCATTTGGCTACTTTGGGCTTGCTATGATGACGCAAGAGATCTGCCCTGGCAACTGTACCGACACTCACAGCTGGTGGTGCGTCGTTTCCATTGTTTGCTGGTAGTTACTGGTAAATATTTTTCAACCTAACGAAACTATTACCCGTTCAGAGGTCGACCCCCAATTTTTTGTCAAATAATTTGGTCTTAAAAACTTGAACTACACACAGGTATATACGGTAAATAAGGACATGGGGGGCCAGGGGTTTTTTAGGGGGGCAGCAAAAGAACACGGATTTTTAACGTTCACGGGTATCTCTGTTACCTAACCCCTGCGTATGTTAAGGGCCGACTGTACATGTAAATGGTACAGGTTAGGGGAACCATCATATACCGCACAAGGTACGAACAGAGCTCTCACTTAAACCAAGCACGCAGCCAACCTCCGACACACGCTCTTCTCTCTGAAGGCGGATGATCACATTTAATTTCATGTCCATTGCGATTGTTTCTCGTGCCTTTTTAGCTTTAGGCGACCCAGAGGAGGCAGATGGACGTTTTCCAGACATGCTCAATGGGGAAAACAGCGTTTAACACTAAAAAGGTACGTGATAAACACACGATGTAAATGAGTGCCCAGAGAAAAAGTACTAGTGTTGGTGTGAACCGAGATAGCGATACGTGGGAAGCTTGCTGGACGGCGTCACAGTTGTTGTACAGAATACTTCATTATCATCATTAGTAGTAATAATCTTTATTACATAATTATAATAATTATTATTATTATTAATAATAATATTAAAATTGTTGCTGTTGATACGACTGTGACTTTACAGTAATAACTTACAAGTACCTCACCAGGCATCACACGCAACTCCACTGCCAGGTGACCAGGGGAATACGCGCGGCAAATTTAAACTGTCTTGAACGTGTTATTTAAAAAACAGGTGCGCGTAAATTAGCTATTTGGTATTAATTGAACAATCACGTCATTCCAAAAACGCTTAAATCAAACGTGTGTAAAATGCGAGTTACCTGTTCATTTTTTATTTGTAGGGGCACATTTTCTGAAAACTTTCGAGAAAATCCCAGTACCCAGAAAACTTCAGGGATGGGGGATTCTTTTCTGAATTTGAGAGATGAAAACCAGGCACATTTTCTGGAAATTCAAAGAAAAATTTTCTGGTACCTAGAAATCTCTCATTCCCATAAGTGCTTTGCACCAATTGTTCCAACTAGTGGAAATATCACTGTACTAGATATCAAAATAAGAACTTTCTGTTTAATATGGTAGGGGGTCTGCCCCCGCAACTGTGGAAGTCAAGCAAAGTTAGGTAGGTCTCTTTGGTTGGTTAGGTCAGGTTCTATTAGGTTCTACTTAATGTCACCTCGGTTAAGGTTCGTTTTAACGTCCCTGCCAGTTTCTATAGGAAGAGTTAATATTTTCCAATTTGGACTTTAGATATAGGTTATGTTACCTTTCAACATTCTTGGATAGTCATTATTTTCAAGATAATGTCAAAATAATTAATTATTTACCATACATACTCCTCTGCAAATCTGCCAAGTTGCCACATGCCGTCTGTTTATTTACAATTGACCCTAGGTACCAGTGTACTTTCACATCACCTAAAAATTTAAAATTACACCATGACACTTCAACAAATTTGCTTTCATTGGTACCAAATCTAAAAAAAAATTACTTTCTGCTTAACATGCTGGTGGCCCCCCTCCCCGGCTAGGAAGTTAGGTCAGGTTAGGCAGGTTTCTTTGGTTGGTTAGTTTTATATGTCTTTCTGACATTTTCTCATAAATTAGGATTTTCCAAAGAAAATGAAGGTCAAATTTTAATAAAACACACCAAAATGCACCAGAAAAATACACTGTATTTCCCTGGAAAAAAGAAATGAAGGGGACATTAAAATGAATCTTTACCCTCACCTCTTTTAAAATATTTATATAATGATAAGAACATCTTTGGATAAAATTAATGAAATCGAACAACTTCTGGTGGTAGTGCTATTCTCAGACATGACCAATAATATTTTTTACAATCCTTTAGAAAACTAGCATAATAAGCAGGGCTTCAGAGCCGATGCATTATTTGTTTTAATGTTTATATTCTTACTATAATTTCATCAGAGTTCCAATATAATAATCATTCTTATGGAAATTGCTTTGTCTGGTAAATATTTAGACGAATAGGCTTGCCCTACATTTTGTCTTTCTTGGTGGCTATGTGGTGGCACTCAGCCAAGCATACACCAAGCAAGCCGTGCTCTGTCGATCTCGGCTCAGCCAGTTCTAATTTCACCACGGCATGTAAAGGGTGTCGCCATTCATATACTGTATGGACATTATTCATGAATTTCGGGGTAGAGACGATTTGACCCTTCAGTTTTTATAGTGTTATACTCTTATTTATGAACCTATTTGTGAGGAAGTACTTTTCACAGCAATACTGTGAAATTGAACTGGGTTTGTCTTCAAAGTCAACAATTGTTCACCACTTCCTCAACTCCGTGGCTCGCCGCTTCCCGTCTCAGTAACAGTAAGTTTGCCCACTGCAGGTCTTAAGTTATGCTAGGTTAGGTTAGGTTAGGTTAGGTTAGGTTAGGTTAGGTTAGGTTAGGTTAGGTTAGGTTAACTTGAACTTTTAAGTAACGTAGTGGATATTTTGCCATGATTGGCTTAGTTCCCACTAACACTATTTTACCGTGAGTGCGCTCTGATCGGCTAAGTACCGTCTGTTTAATATGACGGAGGGTTCGCCCCCAGCTAGAAAGTTAGATGGGTTTCTTTGGTTAGTTAGGTCAGGTTTTATTAGGTTTTAGTAAACATCGCCTCTCTTATGATAACGCCATCTGTGGAAAAAATTAACAAAAGGAACAACTCCTGGTTAGGAATGTTGGTTTTATTTTACTTTCGGACAAAGCGCACCCCAAAGTTATAAACTACTGAAACATTTAGATCTCCCTATTCTGAGCATTTTGAACCCCATATTTACCATTCAGAAATGGAAAATAGCGACACAATTGAATTTAATTGATTTTAAGTACTTTTCAGTCTTCGTCTGTGAAGACATGTTATCTGCGTGAAACCAAGTTAATTATAAGTGCATTAACATCACAATGCGCAATGTTGACTGACGTCATCCAGTCGTGACCAATGATGTATCAATCTCATCACGCAAATTTTTTTTGACCAATCACATGAATTTTTTCAAAGGAAGCAGCCCGGGTACGGATTTGAATTTCAATCACCAGTCTGACAATGGCCGTGGTGGAGGTTGGGTGTGATTCGTGCTCCAACGATTATTTTAAGTTTATTGCCGAGTTTTACGAGAAAGACGATCATGCTATCCAATTCCTACATAATCACGGTGTTCTCCCTACGTCTGTTGAGTCTTAGGTTTGTTTAAGCTAGGCCTACCGGGGGTCCGGGGGCTCAGTCCCCGGCTAGAGGTTAGGTAAGGTTATGTTAGGTTATGTTAAGTTGTTAGGTTGTCAGGTTAGGTTAGATGACTCATTTTCGTTTTCTTCCCCACCCAAAAACCCCGATTCCCCAGGAAAATCATACAGTATTGGTCAACCCCTAGGGACTCATGTCCAAAAGTAAAAAATTACAGGTATGTTTATAGCTAAACAATGATCGACTCAAGACAAAATAAATGCCAAATGTTGCCAGAGTCACGGTCAAATATAGATCTCGTGTTGTACTCGGTAATGGACTATTACCCAATCAGAGCACACTTAAGGTAAAATAGCGTTAGTAGGAATTTAGCTGGTCAAGGCAAAATATCTACTGCCTTTAAATAAACACTTTTAACTCATTTACCATTACTATGAGTGTTCACAATAAAACACAGTGAAATTGCGGCGTTTTTAAATTTGTTTTCTATGAGAAATCAGCGGCTGTGAACTCACTGACGAAAATAGAGTAAGAAAATAAACACCAAAATAAATAACTCATTGGCAGGTAAGTCAACATTAACCGTCGTTAAATAATTACCCAAAGCTATAACTATTACTTTAATGAATGCTTGTTAAATAAGACACTTATTTGTTGTCTTACTACTTGTATTGTTCTATTATTTCCTATTGAAAATTCCTCTTGTCATTTCATTTCGTACTGACCTCTTTTGAAATGAGTTCCATTGCTTGAGGATCATTGCATGGCAGCCGTGGAATTAGTTCTGTAGGAAAAAAATACTTTTTAATATGACTCTCGTCCCATCCTGTGTTGGTGCCGTTCATTGTTGACATTTGACGGTCAGTGAGTAGGAGAGGAGAGAGGATGGTGATACTGGCGGCCACTGGCAACCTGTTATATTATTATGTGCATGTCACAGATGGCGCACCTTAGCTATATTTCGCCTTTAAGACATTTCAGTAATACTCTGGCAAATATCTCAACGGGACCTGGTGACTTATTAGGCTTTAGCTTGTCTATTTGCTTACTAACATCATTACTAGTCACTACTATCTCAGTTAATCTAGTTTCTTCACTATCTCTGTATATACCCTTATAGAGTCGGTAGACTCGGTACCTCGGTAATCATGTTTAAATTTTCGGTGGTGAACACTGTTGAAAAATATCTGTTCACATTATTGCTCGTTTATCCGTCGTTATCAGTTAGCTCGCTGGTATCTGATTGTAATAGTCCAATCTTGGTCCGTGTTTTAGTTAGATACAATTGAAAGAATCCCTTGGGGTTTGACTTCGCCTCTCCTGCTACCTTCAGTTCATTATTCCTCTAAGCTTTTCTTATCTCGTTCTTGATCCAACTGGCCAATACGATATAATAATCTTGGAAGTAAACTTCACCACGATTTATTCTCCAATCTATAGCCTTCCTTTGGCCAATCATATTATTTAACTAATTATTTATCCAATCGGGGTTTTGTTATTTGATCTGAGTTATCTGTATGGAATTCTCCCCTACAAACGCTGTTTGTCGCTGAGTAGTCGACCCCACCAATTCCCCAGTGTATGCCTCGTGGTCTGGGTCAACCAGCGCCGCCATACATCACGGAGCGGGGGTCAACTACTAAGCCACGCCTACCCCCCGCTATATAAGACCTGACCTCGTGGTGATCTCTCTCTTTCTACTCACACCAACCAGCCAGCATCACCTCCTCCTCCGCCGCTGCCTGGCAGCCCTCGCTCCTCCTCCGCCTGCCTGGCGGTCCTCGCTCCCGCCGGCGAGCATGGCGACCCACAAGCTGTCCTTCTCTGAGCGTCCTCACCAACCAGCTCTCTCTACATCACGCTTGTAACCATGCTGCCTTCCCAGCACCAAGCTGCATTGTACATCCAACACAACATGTATAAAGAGAGCACATTGTGAGTTTCCTTTCTCCAACCCATCCTGAGTGTGAAACAAACAATCCTGAAACCCACAATGGTGCCCCCGGAGATTCGCACTCACACAGGATGGAGGAGAAACTGATCACGCTCCTAGTCTTCAAGCAACATGGAAGATTGGCTTATCCACACAGAAGCAGCTCTCATCGGCTCTACAGCTACTGTCTCTACACCGCAGGTTAGACACCCTAGAGCAGCTCTGCTACTCTAAGCAGACACCAGCTCCTCTTCCTGCCCCAAGCACCACGTCCTACCGACCCCAGCACACCCGTCCTGCGTCAGACGCCGACCCCGGCCCAGCAGTAACCCCTGCCGCCCTTGACGTGGCCTCTGTTCCTGACGCGGACCCACACACCCCTCTTTTCTCCCTCAGGTACTCCCTGCTAATGTCCTGCACCCTGCTGCTGTCGTGGACCCAGCTGCTGTCACGAGCCCTCATCCGCTTCTGCTGACGCAGCCCCTGCTCCTGACCCAGGCCCACACACGCCAGCAGGCGCATCTGACGACTCTGTACCTGCCGTGAGGGAAGCACAACATTCATCGCCTCCACACACCCTTATTCTCCCTCTCTACTCCCACAGATATTGTGTATCTAGGCAGTTGTCCCCAGCGACCGGCTCATCCACGCCATCGCCGTTGTCTCACATGAGGCATGCACCGCCCGTTCTGCCTCACATGTGCTAAGCAACTCTGCAGACAACAAGTCTCCTACACCACCTGGAGGGAAGGGGGAGTATTGTAGTGGAATTCTCCCCTACAAACGCTGTTTGTCGCTGAGTAGTCGACCCCACCAATTCCCCAGTGTATGCCTCGTGGTCTGGGTCAACCAGCGCCGCTATACATCACGGAGCGGGGGTCAACTGCTAAGCCACGCCTACCCCCCGCTATATAAGACCTGACCTCGTGGTGATCTCTCTCTTTCTACCCACACCAACCAGCCAGCAACACCTCCTCCTCCGCCGCTGCCTGGCGGCCCTCGCTCCTCCTCCGCATGCCTGGCGGTCCTCGCTCCCGCCGGCGAGCATAGCGACCCACAAGCTGTCCTTCTCTGAGCGTCCTCACCAACCAGCTCTCTCTACATCACGCTTGTAAACATACTGCCTTCCCAGCACCAAGCTGCATTGTACATCCAACACAACGTGTATAAAGAGAGCACATTGTGAGTTTCCTTTCTCCAACCCATCCTGAGTGTGAAACAAACAATCCTGAACCCCACAGTATGTTCTGCCTTTGTGCATTACTTTTACTTTAGCCTCTTCGCCACTGATCGGCTCGTTAGCCGCTTGGGCGATCGGTCACGTCTCTGATTACTTTTCCTTTTCATTTATCCTCTTCGCCAAAAGATCGGCTCGCTAGCCGCCCAGGCGATCGGTCACGTCTTTGTCACGCACTGTTGGCAAATACTGGGCATGCACCGGCTCCTGAATGTAATGTACCTGAACCCGCTCCAGTGTTGGTCAAGTCTTGTTTTGAAAGAGTTCGCACTCTGTGCCATCACAAAACTCTCTGGTAGATTGTTCCAAGAGTTTACAACCCTCACTCCGAAAAAGTTTGCAATCACAGTTTTTTGGACTCGCGGCTTCTTCAATCTTGAGCTGTGACCCCTTGTAGGGCGAGCGTCAGCCAGCTCCAAGTAAGGACACTCGACTGAGTAGTGCCCCCTGAGGTGCTTATGCACCTCAACTAGGTCACCTCTTGCCCGTCTGTAGTATAAGCTAGGCAAGTTCAGGCGCTCCAATCTCTCAGGGTAGCCGAGGTGCCGAAGTGCAGGCACCAGCCTGGTGGCCCTCCTTTGAACATTTTCAACCAACTTACAGTCCCTAGCATATCTCGGGGACTAGACGGGGTGACAGTACTCCAGATGGGGAAGCACTTCACTCCTGAAGATCGTTACGAGGGACGGACCGTCTAGATATCTGAACGACCCAATAATTTATTTGCCTGGTTTACCTTCTTCTCGCAATTGCCCGAGAACTTCAGCTCATTGTCAACATACACACCTAGTGTAATGACCACGGTCATACACGTCAGTTAACGTAAAATCAGACGATTCATATTATGCTCAATAGCCCACAAAACAGGTAGCCATGCTTTCTTATTGAAGTTCCCCATCTGAGGAGTACGCGCTTCACGACGCCTGAGTCTACCGTTTTCTCTCAATCTTGAATATACCCAAGACTTCATTATTCCTTAGTAATGATAGATTTTGAAATTGCAACTGTGGTTGCAATTGGTGAGGCAACCTAGATATATCTGTTTAGAGTTGGAACATTCAAAAACCATTGTGAGTGGTGTTGAAAGCTTCAACTGTCCTTAGTGTTAGGAAAACTTGTCAAGTAAGTGAGTGTAAAGTTTGTCAGTTAGAGTGGCCTTTTTTATGTCGTCCGTGGGAGTGTGGGGTTATGGGTTGTTTGGTGTTCTCACTCAGGATGCGATGGAGAAAGGAAACTCACAATGCGCTCTCTATATACATGTTGTATTGGATGTACAATGCAGCTTGGTGCTGGGAAGGCAGCATGGTTACAAGCGTGATGTAGAGAGAGGTGGTTGGTGAGGATGCCCAGAGAAGGACAGCTTGTGGGTCGCCATGCTCGCCGGCGGGAGAGAGGACCGCCAGGCAGGCGGAGGAGGAGGTGTTGCTGGCTGGTTGGTGTAGGTAGAAAGAGGGAGATCACCACGAGGTCAGGTCTTAAATAGCGGGGGGTAGGCGTGGCTTAGTAGTTGACCCCCGCTCCGTGATGTATGGCGGCGCTGGTTGACCTAGACCACGAGGCATACACTGGGGAATTGGTGGGGTCGGCTACTCAGCGACCAACAGCGTTTGTAGGGGAGAAATCCACTACAGGAGTATCCTGAATTTCCTATCGCTACTGAAGTTATATTATTTTGTCGCCCAAACCTCATGGAATCTAATGTTGGTAGTTTAGTTAGTGTCAGTTGTTTATTTTAGAAAGTCATTACTCTCCTGAACAGTTCCTGTCAAACTCGAAAATATCCAAGACTTAGCGGCTGTTTTGACCCGGAATCTGGTTTGCGGTCAGGCGAGTAGAGTTGTTAATACATATGTAACTCCATTTCACCTCTTTCCTGACAAACTCAATCTCTGATTAGATCATAAAGATGGACGTAGAAAATTAACCTGACCTGTGACCCTTACGGTCACAGCTAGGTGTCCAGCGATAACTTTGAATAGAATGTCTATTGTTAGTAAAATTAGTCTTTCTGGTAGGGATATGCCCTCAGGCCCGTATATATGCCGACGCACGGGGAAAAATCACTCCCTCTGTGATTTCTCCTCCACGTCTACAGGTATGTAGATGATTGTTTTTCGCCGTCGTGTTAATCCAGTTAACTTGTAATGACCACGGTCATACACGTCAGTTAATGTAAAATTCTCCGATTCATATTATGCTCAATAGCCCGCAAAACATGTAGCTATGCTCTCTTATTAAAGTTTCCCATCTTAAAAGTCCGTTTTCTCAGCGCTTCAGGACGCCTGAGTCTGCCGTTTTCTCTCAATCTTGATTGTACCCAAGACTTCATTATTCATTAGTAATGACAGAATTTGAAATTGCAACTGTGGTTGCAATTGGTGAGGCAACCGAGATATGTCGGTTTACAGTTGGAACATTCAAGAACCAGTGTGAATGGTTTTGAAAGCTTCAACTGTCCTTATTGTTAGTAAAACTTGTCAAGTAAGTGAGTGTTGAGTCTGCCAGTACAAACGATACCCGCGGTATCGTTCCCTAAGAATGACCATGAGTTTCCAATTGCTACTGAAGTCAGAGTATTTTGTTGCCCATATAAGGGCGCATGCTTTCCAACACCTACGCGACCCTTATCTTACTTACTTCCCCTGTCTTAGTTCTTACTCAGTTCTGTCACATATTCTTTTGGTAGCT